ATAGAAGAAACTTTTCCATGCAGAACGAATTTTTATGTTTGAGCATAACTTCTCAACGCAAAAATTAATTGCGATGACATCTTTCTGACACACTTTGGTGGTGATAGCAAAATTTTATTTCTGACTTCGTCTATTTTGCACAAACTCATAAAAAGACGGACGGTTGCTTCATTTCTTGTGGTGAATGCTTCTAGTTTCTCTAAATTATGTAAGCAGGATATTGTTGTCTTGTTAGGTACACGAATATTTGCGAAGGTCTCCTTCAGCATATCAGTAATCTTTCCCTAATGATAAGTTGTGAAGTAATCCTCAATCACAAAATCTCGGTTTGCTTAAGAAAAACACATCTCCATCTTGCATCAGACAAACGGTTCAGTTATATTTATGCTAACAGCATAAACTACAACTGAAATTTCAAGTGACTTATACTTGTAACATTATAGAGGTGACATATAACGAAGCAATTAATCATAAATATTCATTTTGAAACTTCTACAATTTTCGAAAATATGATGCGTGCGACATTTTGAAAATTTGATGCCAGCAATTAACTGTATTGGTTTGCTGTGTTCTTCAGGTGATAAATTATCAATAATTCTAAAAAAAAATGTTCTGCTATTTTGTGGGTGGGAGAACCTCGGACAGTCCTCCTTGATGCTTTCCAGCAAAACTGCGACGAAGAAACACAGTTAGTGCGATGGGACGGTACGACCAATGATGAACTTATGGTGTCTTCCTTATACCTGCACCTTACTGCACATCTGAGATTAATCAACCTAAGCATCGATTAATGAACTGTACATTTATTATCTGTATTAATTGCTTTCTCCTATGGCCTGTATAACTTGATTGGCAATGGTGGTCCAGAAGTTGGCTGTGACAGACTGTAGATTCATTCTTTGCTGGACGGCCATATAAAGCAGAAAGTGGATTTTCTGCCCTTCCGACGGGACGTGTGTTTTTCATCAAACCAAGGATGGAGATTGGCAAAATTACATTGTCGCTGTTGAATGGCCATCATGGATCACGGACTAGCTTCAGCAGACTGTAGATTCATTCCTTGCTGTATGGTTGAAAGTGATGAAACTGCAGGTGGATTTGTTGACCTTCCAGAAGAAAATGCGTGTTTTCGATCAATATTGCGTTAACATTTTCCCGGGGGCTGAGACATATATCTCCCGCACTTTCACTACTTTAAATGTGTCTTAAGAAATTTCAGTAAACTGAGATTTAAAATTTACTCGTTAATATGGATTAGGAAGAGCAAGATCCTGTTGATTTGTTTTTCTGTTCCTTTCATTTAAAATAAGTGACTAAATGGCCATAATACGTTCGAAATTGACCCCTATATCCCACGGAAAAAGGTTAAAACTGAGCAAAATTATATTATCTCTGTTGGTGCCGCACGCCTTGGACAAAGACATACAAAGTGCTTCGTTTGTCAGTTTTTTGCGTCTAAATAGTTTCTTTCTTTCAGTTGTTATCCCAAAAGGCCTTTTTAGTCTCGAAACACGATTTTGCATTGTTTCACTTTTCATTCCAATCTGTTGCCATTCGAAAAAACGGAAGTTATTATTCTTTCATATTTAATCTGTCCTAGTTTTTGCTGCAATTCATTTAAACATATTTCTTCGAATTTCACTAGCGATATATTTATCATTCAATCAGTTCGACTCTCATTTCGCGGTAAAGCAAAAATACGTAAAAACTCAAAGCATCTGCGTTAAAAATTGTCAAATACAGAAAAAACTGAAACACCAAATCCAGTTAAAAAAAATCTGATGTGTACACCACATGACTTCCTTGTACGGAATATTAAATTATACGCATTTTTCCTTGCATTTTATTTAAACTTATTAGATTGAATTAAACCTACTTCGCCGACAGCGCATAAACCACAATAGAATAAATGCATTCTTTAAAATTCACTTTGTTTACCATAGCGACACTCTGGCGCTAGGTTTACTTAACAGTATTATATTTCATTCATATTATAACTCAGAATGCACAAAATGTATATCATTTAAAGAATTATCTAATCGTTGCCACATGTTCTATTCAAATACTATAATAAGCTAGAACTATGTATAAAAGAAATTAAGCAAACAAACAAAAGAAACAGTTTTTCACAGACGATTGAGTATTTCTCATTAATTAATTCAGTTCGCACTTCGCGAGAAGGCAGAAATACATAAAAACTCAAAATATTTATATTAAAAATTAAAATTACGAAGTAATCTCAAAACGCTTATTTCCTCGAAAAAATTCCAGAGAATTAGAAAGAATTAAGCATGATTTAATTGGCAATAATAACTGAATGCGTTATCTTTGTTGTTGCGAAGCTAAGTTTCTCTAGATTGGCAACAATCCACTAGTCTCCTGTTTCAAATGTAAACAATCAATGGCCGCCATTAAAAACAGGCTTAGCGGCAATTAAACAACTTTAAAATTGATGATAATTCTAAAAATATTGCACACAGATTTACTAAAGGCATAAAATCCTTGACCGGAAGATAAAAACAACATAATTCAATCATTTTTAAAGCAAAAAATGTACAATTTATAAACATATAACAGTAAAGAAACTGAGATCACTGAGCCGGGTAATAGAGTGGATATATATATAAATATATACGTTTGGTGCGGCCGATTGCAACCAAAATACGAGGTGCACATCTGCATGTTATAGCAGTCCTATATACAAAATTTCAACGTTCTGAGGCTACTCGTTTTTGAGTTATGCGACATACGTACGTACGCAAGTACGTACATACGTTCCTACAGAGGCCACGAAAAATTCTCTTCAGAATTAATTTTAAAGCAGTTTTATAATTTTTTTGAAGGAAAAGATTATTTTATTCTGTCCTTACGTACAGATATCACGCAAAAACATCGTTAAATTGCATTCGATAGCGGTCAAAATGGATATTTTCGTTGAAATATGCTGCCTGAAACTTTTCGCGATTACAATACTTCCTTTTTACTTCGTACAAGGAAGTAAAAACAATTTTTGCAATTTAAATTAGAGTTTATGCGAGAAAACAAGCAATGCAGCCAGGGGGCAGGAAGGCAAAATGGCACAAAACTGAAAATTCTGTTTTGATCCCCCCTCCCCCCCAAAAAACCACTGAATTTGGTGCACCAACTGATTCAACTCACTATTCTACTGAGAATTTCAAATATAAGCAAATGGCGGCCTAGTTAGGCTTAAGTCGCCACTTAAATTTTTAAATTCTTGATAATTAATTAAAATTAAATTATTTTTATTAATTTTTAAATTTCTTGATATGATTAGCTAAAGGCATAAAAGCTTTAACCAGAACATAAGAAAAATATTATTCAATCACTTTTAAGTCAAAAAATGCATAATTTAACAAAATATAAGATTGAAAAAAACTAAGCTCATCGAGCCGGGTAACAGAGTGAGAATATATATTATATACAACCATTTAATCTTCGACTTTTCCTGTATTTTAAAATTTTTATTATATATATACGTCTGGTGCGGCCGATTGCTACGAAATCGGGAGGTGCACAACTATATGTTATAGCAGTCCCATATACTGAATTTCAATGTTCTTCGGCTACTCGTTTTTGAATTATGTGATATACAAACATACGTACGTACGTACAGTACGGACAGTCGTAAAAAAAAACTCTTCTGAATCCATTTTAAATCCCTTTTACAATCCGTTTTGGCAAACACAGTCCTTTTTTCTGTCCGTAAGTACAGATGTCACAGAAAAACACAGTTCAAATATTGGGAACGGTCGAAATGGGTATTTTCGTTGAAATATGATACCCGAAATATTTCGCGATTACAATACTTCCTTTATTTCGAACAAGGAAGTAATAAATGCATTTTTATGAGTATTATTTTTTTTTAAATCTTTAACCTGATTGATTTAAATAAAGAAATGCATTTAATTGATTGTATGCAATTAAAAACATTTGAGTAATTTTATAATTTGTTTCTCACTTTTTAAATACGCAGGAGATATATAACATTTCAATGTAGTTTAAATGCATAGTCATCTAATATTCTATAAAATGTTTCGCTATTCCACCCGGTCCGTCTCTAACGATACCTACTGATATAATCATTTTAATATTTGAAAGGGTCTTATTGGGCGATCATTAAAATACGAACCATTTCAGATTTTTAACAAGCATTATTTTACGTTGCAGCGCTAGCAATATATAAATATTTAAACATATCTATCAGATAACGTAGTTTATGCACTTTCTGAAAAGATTAATTCATTTTTGTAATTTAGATTTCTAAATGTATTATTATATCTAATTTTGTTTAACAATGTTATTAGTTACAATTCTCATTATTGAAAACAATATTTACTGTAATTTAACGGCTAATATTGTAATTTAATTTAATAGTCAACAGTAATTATTTTTGAAGAAATAATTAATCTAAATGGCTTTTGATACCTTAATTCGAATAAATATATACTAAAGTAGATGTGCATATTTGTACGCAAACGTATTAATAACACAAAATAAAAAGAATAATTAGAAAGAAATATGTAAATAATTAGATAAACATTTCAATTACTGAATATGCAGATAATTAAGGAGACAAGAAGATAAGGTCGTTGCAGGTTTATGCAGTTTATGGTCAGCTTACGCCAAGTAAACTGCATGTGGTACATAAAAACTAACTTCAAATGTATACGGCTGTAAAAAACTGCATTTATATATATCTAAAGAAGCTTAGAGAACGTTTTAAGCATGTAAATGATCATCACGTAAACCTGTAGCGTGTTTTGAAGAATTGCTTTAGTTTTCTGTTTGTGGTGTATAGTAACATCTATTTTTAAACTAAGGCTTATAATATTACGCATCAATTTTATTGCGCATTTTAAATGCTTGCTTCATCTGAAGTACAAAGCACGTGAAATTCTTTTTTAGTCTTATCGTTGGCATCGAGTTGTTTCATAGAATGTTACAATACTGATAACAGTCACAAGGTAATAATGACTGAGTGAAAATGGAAGTCAGTTTTATTTCATTAAGTAATGTGTTTAAGAATTTGGCTGAAATTTATTTTTTCTGATAGGCGTAAGTTCTAAGTTTTATATTCGTATGTAGTATCGTAGTAAGTTTTATATTCGTATGTTTTATCAGTGGAAATTAAATACATATTTGAGCGGTTTGGTGCTTTGATTTATATTTTAAGAGACTTGATCTTTTATTTCTTCCATTTAAAAAGCTTATTCTGGTTAATAATCTCATTAATTTAATTGTTTAATTGTGCTCATAATGTTAATTGGAGTAGTCGCTTATTTGGGAAAATTTTTAAAAAGTTTTAGTTAAAACGAAAATGGCTCAGAATTTATTCTCATGTTTGGAATAGCATTGAGTTTAACTGGATATTCAAATGACCATCAATCCAAATACAGGGAACGATAGAATCCCGCAGTTCTGGCACTAACTGGGAATCAAGTACTTCTGAATTTTCGAACAATCCAGACAATTATATCACTACTTAGATTTACCTAACTGCTAGATTTTTCGAATACCCGAGGGATAAGGGATGTCAGTTAGTATAACTTGTTACGATAACATATCTTGAAAACATCTTTGTAAGATAATGCATCGACAACATGATTAACGTTTATATTTCCCAGTTTTCTCAACATATTTCTTGACCAGCTGCCAATTTTCAGATTGAGAATAAAAATATGCTTTAAACAGATTTGGATTGTTCTTTAAATATGTAATTGTGAAAGTCACGTTTTGAATTCATCCACAATTTCAGTTCCGGTTCCGCCTTTTAAAATGTGTTAACGATATTAACTTTACATCTCTTTACCAAAAATAACTCACTTTCTTTTCGGTGATGTACTAGAGAAGAGGGAGCACATAGTAAATAAACAGGAAAAAAAAAAAAAAAAAAAAAATCTTTAAACTATAAGGAAACAGGCAATACATTGGACGTGGGCTATTGCACGTGAGCAGCAATCCCTCACTGAGCAATATATCGCCAAATCTGGAAGACTTTTTATAAAGTTAGCTTGTAAATCCCCAAGCTATATACGCACCACATCACCTCTTTCCCTAACCACCTTTAATCTCTTCTTTATTAACCGAATTTATCCTTTCCGCTTTGCACGGAGCCGTTCTGAATTAAAGACATCTTCAGGTGACCATCGTCACTCCCACTTTCCCACACTGTTCTTCGGAACAACAGCCACTCATCAACAAGTCAGATCACGTAGACGCGGAGCCGTATCCTTTCCAAAGACGACCGTCTTCTGACAATTGCGCAGTCACTGCCTGCAGAGATGTTTCACCACACAGCTTGAAACATGATCTTTGGCCGCAGCGTGACCAACTGCCGTTTGTTTAGCATTTGTTTTGATTGTAAAATATATTTCTTTCGCTAAACTGCAAGTAATTTGAATTATGTTGTTACCACCGATATGACCTTAAAATTTCGTTAGACATTTCAACAAATTTCGTGAGATTATATTTGACTTATTTAAAGAGCTTACTTTATGAGAACTTACTTTTATTTTGGAGAAGGTGAAATAGGAATTTTCAAAGAAAATGCTATGATAGAATTAGACTTTTGTAAAGGATCTGTTATTGTGACCCTTATATCTGTGAAAGTGGTATATTTTCAGCAATCGAACTTGTAAGAATGTATTCCTAATGATCTAGAAACTCTTCGAAGAATCTAGAGAAAAAAGTTGTATATAGAATCACATTAGCCTGCATTCGCTTATTTAGACAATTAATGAAATGATAATTATATGAGCTCCGTTTAACCAAGGTTTCACATTATCAAAGGTAAATATTTTTCTTGTATCAAAGCTTTATCATGAGCATTGTATCAGTTGCGCCAAAAATAAAAAATAAATAAAAATGTTTTTTATGCAACTGAACTAAAACCCGCAAAACAATAATTTTGCATACCTAATAATAGGAACTCGGAAATTTGCTAATATTTAAGGCTGAGACAATTACAGAACACAATGATGTCTCGTTTAATCAATTCCCATTTCAACCTGAAAAGCAAAATACTCTCACTTCATCTTCCCCTTCAGAAAACGAATTAGATCAGTGTTTCTCAACCTTTTAGTATTCACGGCCCAATTTTCAATCATAATTTTCATCGCGCACCCCCCCCTCCCCACCGCATACAATAAAATGTATGCAATAATAATGTATTTTGAGTATTTTGGCGCTAAACCTACACTACAACCTTAATTTAAACTTTACAAATTACCAAGAATACGGAAATTTATTGACATTTTGCAACACCGATCCTCAGCATTGAAAAAACAAGAATCCTATGCCTTTTTATTGCTCTTGCGTCCCGCCATGTCGGGCATTCTCACGGTTTAGCGAGAAGTTTCGATTTGTCTGGAATTTGTCTTAAAAGTTAAGTTAGGAGCGTGAGCAGATGTGAACAAATGCTTTCTCATAGGGAGAAGGAGAAAGAAAGTTCGATAGACGACAGTTTTAATTCCAGACAATCTCATTCGAGTCAATCCTTCTATCGCTATTGAATGTATCGTGAATGTGTATGTTATATATAATTTCGTGTAATTGCAATTCACCGTATTATTAAATATTCACGGCAGCAGACTTATGCAGAATCATGGATAAATTTTTAAGCGGGCGTAAGCGAGCATTAGACGACAATAGACAAGCATCAACAAGTGCATAGACGAACGTGGTTTCGAAAATAACAAAGAAAATATTCTCAGGAGTACTTAAATTTTGGGTTCACTAGTACTGAAGTAAATGAAGAAGAAAAGCCATTATGTATCATTTGCTCAAAAATGTTGGGGCAGAAGACAGCATGAAACCTAATAAACTTCAAACGACATTTGGAAACGCTTCATAGTGAGTACGTAAACAAACTCAGAGTATTCTTCGAATTAAAATTAAAATCATATGAAAAGCAAAAATCATTGTTTAAAAAAACTTTGTCTGTGAAATAAAAAAGCTTTAATTGCCTCTTACAAAGTTTCAGATAAAATAGCCAGATGTAAAAAGCCTCACACCATTGGTGAAGAGCTTATTTTACCAGCCGCAATTGAGATTGTAGAAATTATATTTGGAGATAATTTTGCAAAAACAATTGCAATCTATACCTCTTTCAAATGATACTGTTGTCCCGTCGAATTGCTGATATAGCTGAAGATGTAGAGTGTCAGCTTTTGTAGAAGTTACGTGACAAATTGTTTTCAATACAACTCGATGAGGAAACAGATAGTAATAAAGATGCTCATTGCATTGCCTATGTTAGATGATTTGTGATGATTTGTCAGTAGTAGAAGAATTACTTTTCTGCAAACCAATAGAACTCAAAGCAACAAGCACTCGCATTATTTGCTATCTTAGAATGCTTTTATGAAGCGAGGCAAACACAGAATGGAAAAATTGCGTGGCAATATGCACCGATGGTGCTCCTTCTATGTCCGGAAGGTTCCAAAGTATTCAAGACATTTGTGAAACAAAAATCGCCACAGTGCGTCTGGACACACTGCATGATCCACAGAGAAGCTTTGGCTTCCAAAGAAATGAGTCCTGGTTTGAATATTGTATTAACTACGGTTGTAACCGTAGTAAATTATATAAAAATGAGACCTCTGAAATCAAGAATCTTTTCCGCACTTTGTAAAGACATGGGTGCAGTACATTCAGCGTTACTATTTTATTGCGAGGCAAGATGGTTATCACGAGGGAAATTTTTACAACGTCTTTATGAGTTATGAGAAGAAATCGCCGTTTTCCTAGTAGAGGAAAACAGACCGGAAGCTGAGAATTTTCGCGATAGTTTATTTGTGATGAAATTGAGCTACATGGTTGACATATTCGAGAAATTAAATAACTTGAATCTTCAACTGCAAGGAGCAAATACACATATATTGGATACGAGTGATAAAGTTAATGCTTTTTGTAGGAAATTGGAATTGTGGAGCAGAAATTTAAAGCAAGAAAATTTAACAATGTTTGCAAATTTGAATGATTGTATTAAAACTTACAAGGCTGAAGAACAACATGTAAAAATTGTTTTTGTAACCATTGAAAATCATTTAGCAACGCTAGCAAAGAATTTTAAAAAGTACTTTCTTGCTGACGACAAACTGATATCAAGTTACAAGTGGGTGAGGGCTCCATTTCAAAATACTCCCGAAGGACTCTCAATTGAAGAGGAAAAAACCTTCATAGACTTCACGGCAAGCGGCGAAACCAAAAGACAATTTAGTAATAGATCACTCTTTGAATTTTGGGCAGGGGTAGATGATGAGTTTTCTGCACTAAAAACAAGGGCATTTCGCATTCTACTACCATTTTCAACATCTTACCTTTGTGAAACTGGATTTTCTGCGGTGGCTTCTTTGAAGACAAAATATAGATCTCAGCTAAATATAGAAAGAGAACTGAGAGCGTCTATTTCTAATATTAAACCCTCCTTCGAAAAACTTTGCTCTGCAAGACAGGCCCAAGGAAGTCACTAATAATTATTAAATTTGTTTTTAATTTAGTAAGTTGTTTTAATTTAATAAAATTAATTATTAAATATGTCGAAATGTATTTGTTTTGTATGTGTATGTGTGTGTGTGTTCTTTCCTTTCAGTCACTTAATCAATTTTTTTAAATAACATTTTCTCTTGGATATGCTCGCGCCCCCCCATTAGTGTTCTCGCGATTTTTTTTTTTTTTTTTTCTTCTCTCTCGACTCGCGACTGTAATTTTAGCCATTATTTTACTCGATTTCTCGCGACTGTAATTTTAGCCATTATAAAGTGGAATACAGTTTATGAATAGGATTACGCTGTATGGCAATACTGAAGGATATCAGTGTAAGACTTCCTAAATCATAGTAAGTACAAATAATACTTATTATAATTTACACATTATTTATTGAAAAAAAGCATGAAATTTATTTTTAAATTACCTTCTTCGTGAAATGCTTCGACAGAAGTGAATTGAGAAATGCCTTATCGAAATTAAAGTTTTTAAAACTATGGAAGAATAAAATGAAAATATTTAGTGTTTTCTGCATATCGAAATAATAGGTTGGCAGATTGGTAAAATCA